GATTTCTTTCTATATAGTTTACCAGGCTTATAGCAGACTATAGACCTTTCCAATATGCTCTACCACCAACTAATGATTATAATTGTTAATAAATTTGACAGTTTTCTACACACTGGTGCTTAAGCAGTTTTATAAAAAAATTGTTGCTTTTGACATAGTTATTACATAATATGATCAGTAGCAATTATGGTCGTAATTGTTGATCCCTCGTATTTAAAGTAAATATAGGATTATACTACAATAATGTTTGTGAGTTGTCGTGGCCTAAAAGATAAGACGCTTGATTTAATCGTATTAAGTGATGCTACTGAGCCGGTGTTCGAATCCGGCATAAACGTATTTGACACATGTTCATGAATTTCGTTTAAATACAGTATGTTTTTATAATCGATATCATTAGGACCAAATAGCCCTTTAAAATGATTTAGTCAATCAGTTATTTGCATATGAAAGTTCGAAATAATTTTGCTGGGAGCTTCAATTGTATTGCATCATTGGTTTCAATTACGGGCGAGGTTGTTGAACTGCATATTGTTGAAGTTAATTGTCTGAATAGAGTGAGCTATCTATTTCTTTTGTTTTGTGTTGCAATGTTTATAGTAACAACACACCCATCGTTTGAACTCCTTGTGATCCTTTCTAAGGCAATAAAAAAGCCAAAGCTTGTGTCTTTGTTTTTACTTGAGCATAAAAACTGGACATGGTCTAGGGAGCTTTACTACTCTGTGGAACTATGTTTCATGATATCAGCAGGTGATCTTATCAAAGATCACCCCTGTTACTTTGAACTATTGCCTTCATCCACAATACGTTTCCGGAGGTTAATTTTGTCACGAACTGCTTGGCTCTGGAATGAACATCTTACCATGATCCTGAAGGCACGTGACCTGACATGATGATCTTTTAGAGTAAACGACAAAAGAAATATCCTCCGCGCAGCGGGTGTTGTTCAGTAGATAAGCGGTTCAAATATTTATGTATGCAAACCTATCTTTAAAATGTCATAGCGAGATTTAGGTATATGTCGCTTTTTTTTAATCTATGATGGTTACCACCATATCCTTTATCAAACGAGATTTTTGATGTATCATTCTCGGTAGTTCATAGCAGAAGTAGCTAAATCGTTGTCAGTGTTGATATTCATCACCGCTTTTAGCTACTCACCATTAGTATGAGTGTACTAAAAACATACAACTTGTTCGTGTTTTGTTGCAACTTGGGCGATTTTTTTCCAGATAATCTTATTAAAAACATTATTAGTTTCAAACGGAGTGTAAATATTGCGGTAAAAATGAAGCTATATAAACATTTAAAATGATCACACGCGCTGTTTGTGTGAAGAGTGTCGGTAGCATCAGTCCTCAACAGTATAAAGTTTCAGCCTGAGAACCGACCGCGATCTCAACGCCAGTTGGTTCCACTCGAGTGCATCTATGAACAACGACAGATGTACATGGCATCACCGTTATGTAGACCGCTAGACAAATGCTCTACTATGCAAGTGTTATTGGATAAAATATTGAATACATTTCTGTAGGAAGAAAATTACGGGGTTTCTTGGAAATTTTTTATTCGATCATAAGTTTCTAATTTAAGCTAGTGACCCCGCAGTAGTCGAGATTCGACTATAATTAATTGAAATTATAAGTTTAAACATTATTATGATTATATTGTCAAACAGTATTATATTTCGATAATATAATCACAGTATTCGCCAAAACTGCACTATAGATCAATAATATTAAAGACAAACAATATTAATCTATTTTCAATTCGACCACAGACTTTAAGCAATAACAAAAGTTTCCCAATTGACAGTAAACAAAGAGTATATTTGTATGTATTTGTTGTGTCAAATACATGGTAGTGTGTGTAATGTTTTCTTTATTGATTTAAAGTATCTTTTATGCATTATTTTAAAAAAATATTAGCATTGTGCACTCCCTCTATATATTCTCTATAAGTGTGGGAAATTTCATACTCCTCCGTCCGCGCAAAAAGGGGTACAAAGTTTTTGCTTCACATATTAATATCTAATTTAAATCTACTTGGCGTATATTGTGTTTTTTTTTAATTTCGCAAAGCTAGTTAACAAATGTTAGTTGTAGGCCGTAAGTTACAACTAATAGCTCTAAAATATTTTTTCAGATGACCGGGAGTATATTAATGATTCTCGATGACGGTTTTTGTTTGTACGAGTATTTGCGGTCATAAATGTGGCTTATTCTATCTCAGTGATTTTTAATAATGACATCTTCCTTCCTTCCTTCCGCTAGTACAAATGTATGAGTAACTTCCGCTACTATAAATTAATTATGGTTTAAAGCGAATCAAAATAATATGACTCATATTTATCCTGTAATTCAAGTCTAATTTCAAGAACACAATGTGAGTAATAGTCCGCCTTTGAAATTAATTCTCTCATGATATTTCTTGAATTATATAACGGGAAGCTTTTTGGATTGAATCCACGTTCTTTTTAAAATTATATTTGAGAATAGTCCTCAGTAGTAGGCAACGGCTCTACATTCTATTTTGGGTATTTAAATAAAATATATTGCGTTTTTCGTCGCTTATATTGTTACTAGTCAAACCCAGCTAGTTTTGCTGGTAGATTTTTTCATTTAACTTTGATCATATCGCTACTAAACTAAACAGAACCGCCCACTAGGCCAATTTTGGCAGCAATCTGAACTAGCAGTAGGCAGCGATTTGGCTGTGCCCCTGGCATTGTTGATGAAGATGTCCATTAGAAACGGTGAGTACTTACCATCAGGTGGGTTATACGCTCACTTGTCAGCCAGAAAACTGAATTAAAACGTTTCTAAACATTTCCTGAAATTTTTATCGAAATCTGTCCAGCTGTTTCGGAGTCTAGGTGTCACACACACATAGGCACTTTGACTTATACATATAATTACATATATGGATTAATTATTAGATAAGTTAATTTTATTATCAGAGACATGTTACCCTTCAGAAATTTACTTTCATAATCTGGATCGCGCACATCTAGGTCGGACGCAATTTCTGGACCATAATGAATATTGCTTCTTCATTGTTCTCGCAAACTTTCGCTTTCGTGTGTTGCATCTTACACAATCATAGGTTACAACAACACGTTTGAGCGTAAGAACATTGAGTTTGAGATCTTAGTCAAGGTTTTTGATGCCTGGATATAGGCATCAGAAGGCAGTCGCGCAGCTACGACTTATTATAAAACCCGCTGACAGCGAATACCAACTAATGTGGATTGGATTTGATGACAAAAAAATAGCTTTTAATAGCTACAATACCTATTTATTTTGAAAAATAATCGTAAGCGTATTTAAAGAGCAATATGTAACGAATACAACAATAGGTAGTCCTATTGTTGTATTTGCTACATATTACCAACATTGCTACATAGCCAACTATGGTTAGGCTGACTGCAACTAATTTCATCAGCAGCTTAATTTTAGCAGTATGCATCAGCTTGTTTTTGCCCCTGACATTGTTGACGTCCTTCAGCTACGTTCCTTTGGCGACGGTCACCATCATGATCAAAGACTGTAATGGTTCGACTTACATTTCATATAGTGGAAGCATTTGATCAGGTCAAACCGATATTTTTTTTGCAAGACTTAAAGTACTTTATATCTCGGTTCCAAGATTCCCAATTTAGAATAAAAGCTCCAAGAGGGATTGCCTTGGAACTTGGGCATCATAAGCAATATGTATTCTGAGAAGTAGCACCACCAGTCAATAACGACGATGCACAAAGCGAGCAATCCACATGTAGAGTCCTTCGGGAATTTCTCTAACATGTATAATAAAACCTCTCGAAGACTTCCTCAATGATTTATTAAGAATACGAGTATATGACCTACCTCGTTTATTTGCGACATTAATAGGTACATCAAAGAGTAATTGATGTACACAAAAAGTATAGGTGAAGAAACTGATAGATAAAATATCATCACAGCTTCATCCTTATTTACTCTATGGGCAGATAGTTTCGACGTGTTTTTTTCACTACTCTATCTGGTACACAGTAGAGAATCTTAGCTTGAGGTTATAGAGAATGGAATGTTTATTAAAATAAATCGATGGTCGCGGACCATTTATATCGCCAAAGACCGCTCGCATAGTTTTTCCTCTCACAATTTTTATTCTTCTCAGTTTAAACTGATGGTTTATCTTTCAGTCGGTCACAGTTGTCATATTTATTCTAGCTACCGCTATAACTTAATACCTGACATATATTTTCATTGGGATGTGTCAGTAAAATTTTATCACGTTCGAATATTGGTTATTGAAGTGAGTAAGCGACTGTAGTACGTTGTATTGAATGTTAATAAATTGAATCGTCGTAATATCACTACAGTGACTAAAGAGTTAAATAATAGAGCTACGATAGTGACTCATTCATGTAACTCATGGTGTGGTTTTAGTTAAGTAATACTAAATTGGAAAATATATTAGCCAATAATTGTTTTTGTTATAAATGATTGCAAATCATAATTGTGTAGTGATTTTTTTCGTTTCAAAATATATACTTGTGATTACTAAATTCATTTATATTAACTAAAATAAAATTAATATTTAATTTTCCACAGCTGCCATCTGTTACAATAATTCCACATCATAACTTGAGCACATTCTTTGAATCTCAAAATCTGAATGCAAAATCATTAAATACCGCTAGATGTCGTATGTTGTTTAAGTTAAGAGGTACACGTATAGATGGCGTTATTTCGATTTTAAAAGTCCCTGAAAAGCTTTCGAGCGCAAATGTAGAGCTCTACAGGCGTTAGGGGAGAACTTTATAATTTCCTAATCCATTGCTAATCTCAAATACAGCAGACAGCGCGTACCGAAAATATTAGTGATACTGTATGATGATATTAAAATAATATTAAGGTTTAAGAGTATCCGATTGGGTATCTGGGTGAGTGGGAGTTGTGTACGCGGGACCGGCCGGCGGCGGCAGTATTCTTGTGCTCGCTACAGTGGCAGGTGGCACGCAACCCCGCGACTCAAATAACTTACGTCCGCGAAAACATTGTTTGTTACCTTCCTGCTCATAACTGTGATAGTTCTCGATTACTTCGCGGTGTAACTGAAGCTTTTCTGACTGTTTATAATGTTAAGAATTTGAAACAGTGTCGTGTGAGTGTTCTAAGAAATACCGGCTCCGTCAGTCATGTCATCAAGTACGGTTTAAGTGCAAAATCTTCTTGAGTTCCACTAAAAATGCTCACAAGCACATTGGGACTGAGTTTGATGTGAATCTGGGAATTTAGATCAAAGAGCGCTTTTACGGCTTATTCGGGAGTGAGTACATTTTTCTGTTTGCAATCTGATAGCTTTACAATATCAATAATATTAATATTACGAAATAATTAAATAGATATGCTTCCTCGTGTCCGCAACAAAATAAACAATATTGTATCAAATTGAATACTGCACCAAATCATATAAGGTTCATTTTCAAAAAAACTTTCTGGAAACGTTATATTTTAAATTATAATTGCGCCATCGTATCATTCTGTATTCTCCCGCTGTATCTCGGTGTTATGTCGGAGCTATACCAAATCGCAGTTTCATAGCTGGAACAGACTAGTGAATTTGTTGGGTTATTATCCTATTAGATCATGTAGACAACTAAATGTATGGGGGCGACCAGCGCGGTTGGTGTGCGAGGCCGTGGTTGAGTTGAATGGCCTCTAGCGCGCTCGCCGTGCATCAATCGTACTTACCTCACCTTGGCAATAATCTCATTTGTTTCTTAGCGGAACTGATTGCTATTCTGTAGCTTCACTCATTTTATGTACCCACGGTTTATTTACGAATACGCATCTTATTTATGATCATAGTTGAAAACAAAATACATTTCCAAATGCATAAGTAAAATTTTCTAGATATTGAGAATTTGAATCTTAATTGTTCTAAACTCCTATAACACGCCAAAATCAGTTATAATATTATATACCTACATAATAAATACATCTACTAGATCGATTTCCAAATTGATACCGAAAGTGACTTACTACAAATTGGTTTTAGGCTGAAGGTCTCTCGAGATACGTTTTTTCTGGAGTACTGAGAAAAGATTAAACATCTACTTGACTACATACACTACATACAATAGAAGTATTGATTTTCCTACGTTTAAAGTTCTGAGGCTTTTTCATTGGGAATAGTTATGATTAATTCAATCAAAGTTATTATTTGCAATGACTTGGATATACCAACGTAGTAGCCCAAATACTCGTAGTAAGCTTTTTCGAATTACAGTAGAACGCATATAATTTAAGGAAAGTCAAGTCATGTAATATAATAAGAATATTGTAATAGCATACAAAAGTAGACCAATAGAATATTATTGTACGACAAGAAAAAATCGGTACAACAATCTCAGGAGTAGTGGGTGAGTAATATCTTGAGAGGGTCAAGTACTCTCTTGGCCCCGCGGAGATTTGTAAATTAGGGTCCACTCTCCAGGCCACTTCAAATATACCCTCTGATATTCTTAGTTATTGCGGAACTCATAAAGTTTCTCAAGAAGAATCAGATCAAAGACTGAATCTTTGCCTACGCATTTCATAATAAACTTGTGCTAAAAAAATTAAAAGCCTTAGCCTCAGTAGATTTTGTATGCTTTTAGGCGTAGCAATGAATAAACAAGTAAATAATATACCTGAATTAGTCGTCAACTTCAAGAGTGTAAGTATTAACGTTCCCATAAAATATCCTAAATTACTTAATTCGTGGAAATTGTTGGTATTAATCTGAGTAGAACCAAACAGATCGTTGGAATCTGAACCATCCTACAAAGCTGTTCGAACTCTTGTGTGTGTTTGATAAGTTATTTATGTGTTGTTACCTTAAACTCAATATCAGCTATTATTTTCTGCACGCTGATTTCTATAAGGGCTTACCAATTTACAAGGATTAAGTGTAATAAAACTTTCTTTCATTTGGATTAATCGACGCATAAAATGATAATGTTTAATATTAGTAGGCTGCGTGAATGTGTGAAAAGACAGAAATTTCTACAATCGCATATCATTTACACTAGCGTATGGAGTTAAGAAATACGATAAAGTTTATAGTAAAGCTTTTTGGAGATGAGGTAAATCTTTTGTTTTAAATTCTTAGTCAAACACATATTCCACTAATTTATCACATATGCCAGACTATAAATAGATGTTCTGTCTCGAAATTGTTTGCATTCAGACCCAGTATCGTTAGATGGGTCTGTAAATAGGTTCTGTTTATTGTGTTAGCCACGTCTCGTATACGAGTTGATGATGTCGCTATGAATATTCGCGGGTGGGCAGCGGGCGGGGCGGGAGCGGGTGTGGTCCGAACCATTGGACAATAGGACCTTTGTTGCAATGCCCATTTCCGATTACCAGATTGAATTGGTAACGTCAAAGCAAGCCTTTATCTCGTCAAAATAATCGAGTACTCTGCTATTGCTTTTTGTTTACAATTTTTCGAATCGGTCGAAACATTCGACTACAGGAGAATCCAAAACTTTGACATCACTTAACAGTTTGAAGTCGACAATGTCTATTTCGATAAAAGTTATTAGTTACTAAGTGTAAAATACGAAAGTAGATATGTCTATTTGTTATGTTTTAACTATCAGACAATTGACCCGTTTTTACGAAATTCAATATGGAAATAGCTTAAGCTCTGACAAAGAATATAAGGTACATTTTATTACATTACTAAGTGCGGGTTTTTACTAACGCGGTATTGTGTGTTACACACGAAAAGCACACGGATGAAGCAGAGGGTCGAAAGCTCATAAGCTACATTCGAGAATTAAATGGAAGGATCATCGATTCCTGTTTGAGCATTCGGTTAAAGAGATTGTCAAAGTTGTATTTGTTATTTAGTTTAACCTTTCGTCATGCGGGCTTACGAAGCGAAGCACAGCAAAATGACGCTTGGTCTACGCATTGTTCCGGAAATTTAGTCATATTTGTTATGATTGCGTCTCATCAAAAGGTATTTTATTAAGAGAGAAATATCGCTTTTAATTCACAAAGCGTGTGCGATGTGAACATAAAACAAAGTTTTAAAGGGGTTCCTCGTTCCTCGTTGCTCACTTATACAACGAACATTCAGCTGAGTAGCGACGTCGGAAGTGAATATGGTAATTTCGGCATATTTCAAGTTTTCAACTTTATAAACATAGAAATAGCTAGTAGATAGCTTTATTTTCAACATCTATTTTATTCTTCAACCTGAAACTACTAATTCATTTGTATGAATTTAGTAAAATGTATCTATTTTAGCAGAGGCTCTAAAGAGATTATAGGTGCAGCGGATGCTTCAAAATTCTAATTGAAAATGAAACAGGTTCTACGTTGAAATAGGATTGTAAAATATCAAAAATATCAGCCTCAGCATCCGCTGTAATATGGATTCGCGCTGTGGGAAGCACCGCAGTTGCGAATTTATTGCAACGTGATAAGTTAGCCAAGTTATTATATATTTAGTCATACTACTACATCAATAGTAATTTATTTAATTAAATATTGATCAACTAAAAAAGTTTCTCGCAGCGCATTTACTAGTCTAAGGAACTAGGGTGTTAGCTGAAGAGCATAACGACAATATAATTACAACATGAGGCCTATAATAAGAAATGTAACGAATCATTAATTCTCCTCAGTGGAGTTGAAAAATGTTAAACTGTGGGCGGGGCCGAGCCTCGAGTGAACCTTCACATGGTTACTGCTCTCATGGCCGATCGGAGTTGGCCCGCCGCGGGCTACCTGCCGTAATTTTAGGAACGAGAAATTACTCATAATAATAAATGTACCTAATAATTTTCGAAAAAAAAAACAAAACCACTTTAAATTTGTTCGTAGTATCGCCTTGGTATTCGAGACGAGGATTAACCGTGACTCACACTCATCTAAAATGGTTTCATGTACACAATCAAGTATCATTATGCTTCTCAGTGATCAACAGATTAATAGTTTCTGAGTAATGCATGTTTTCGTTATCACGCTCCGTTAGTTTATTTGCTTGAGTTACATTAAAAATTATTAAATATAAAAATTAAAACTTATGAGTTACCATGTATGTATTAATAATGAACAAAATCAAAATGTTAATTGAAAAAATGTTTTATCTGTACCACAAAATATACTTTGACAGTACTTTTGCAGTTTCTACTTGAATTTCTATTGCTTCATCTACGATTAGTCTCCTAGAGAGTTCTGACCCGCACACACATTAAACACACAAATAAATTTTGTTTTAATTGTTCCTGTTTTGAATGTTGTGAAAACCGTCCATTATCTGGTTGACTTAACATTTAAGTACAATTTTGATAAATCCAACCAAAATATCTGAAAATTTGCAACAATATCTTATACATACTTATCAAGGCTATAGTAGAAGGCTACCTTAAACTGTATAGTAGTCACTATCTGAAATATTCATCCTGTATGCCCTTAAATACAATTGTTTCGATATTGTGTGATAGTGTGATACACTGCTGTTGTGGTGCTGATTTATTAAAGCTCTATAAATAAGCAAAGGTAAGACAATAAAGGTCTCGATCTTTCGATAAAAAAAAGAAGTAGATTAAAAAAAGGGGTGTGAGCGTGTCAGCAAATTATGGTTATAAAAAAACAAAAATTGTTACTTAATATAATATCTTATACGCTGCGTAAGTATTATCTATCGATTTTAAATCGAAATAAGAAGAGGAAGTAAATTAGGGCTGAGTGGTTTTTCCTTGTTGAATTATGTTATTTTATTTGCTTATGTTTAATATTACATATATATGATACTTTTATATTATAAACATAGTTGTAAATTTTGGGAATTAGGAACAACTATCTTTTATTATCACCAAGCTTTTAATAATAAGCATTTGATAATAATATAGTAGTTATTAATTTCATAAAAATAAAAGAAGTAATTTATCGTACATTAAAAAAAATGAACATTGAATATATATATGAGCGCTGGCGAGAAATTTTAACCTAAATCACTTTGTAACTCCGCTGGCTTTGTTCCGAGACAATGCACATAAAATAAAAAATAAAAATAATATAATAATTTCATTTAAAAACTACCTTGTTCTTATTTTAAACTTATTAAAACTATTCTCTTCCTTTTATATCAATAGTTAAACATTCCACATGCAATATGTGAAACAAAAAATCGTTAAATTAAAATCATAGTATAGTAAAATGTATCATTAAATCAATGTATCATACAAAAAATCATCAAGTAAATTATTTTCCTCTTAAGACGAAATTTCTACTGGACACATTTGGAAGATATTAAGGAGAACA